TTTAAATAAATGGTAAATAAAATGTAGAATCTCTCTCTTGTCTTCCTTTCAATTAGCTTTTAAATTTTACCCTCAACCATTAATTCACATTTCATCTTCAAATAGGCTCATTTCTAAATTTGCTACCATCCAACTGTGGGATTTGGTCCTGTTTGCATACTGTATAAGTCTTCAAAGGTCTGTGTGAAATCCACCTTGTGACTGAAGCAGGCATATCTAAGATCCAGAGGTATCTGTCCCCTGGGAATTTTCAGAGTGCAGCAGTCACGGTGGTTACTCTTTTTTTTTTTAAATTATTTTGTCATTACTTGAAAGCCTTACTAACCTTAAGAGCCCAGCTCCATAATCATATTTGGTTAGCTTGAGATTAGTCTTTAAAGACCATTTATTTATTATAGAGACCATTTCCCAGTTACCAGTTTATTGAGTCTTCATTAATAATTATTTCATGGGAGTTTTTTTTCCACCACTGCTCATTTACATGTGTAGAATTCACCCTGTGAGTGTAAACCAAGAATGGATTTCTTTAAGAGTTCAAGCTTAACTGGAATGACATTTTTTTCTCTACCTTGATAAATTGCTCCCTTTCTGGGAAATGCCCCCAAAAGCACTGAATATCATGCGTTTAAAAGAGTCCATGACCTGCTGCATTTAGAATCCCTGAGATTCATGTTTCAGTCCCATGTCTCCAAGCCGTGCTCTTCCCACTTCTATTCACATTTGATTTAGATGTGACTTCTCTGTGTTTAAAAAGAACAAGATTTGGTATTACTAGTCAGAGGGCATCAGGTCCCAGATTTCAGCAAAAGGCACTAATCAGCCAGAATGACCAAGGCTCTGACCACGCTGCAGTCTTACTAAGGCAGTTACCCCAGACAGGGCACCCCTGCTTGCATTTATTTAGAAATTGTCAAGTTGTCTAAGTGCTTCCACCTATTCACTCATGTGATTCCTGGAACACTCCTGTATGCCACGATAGGAAGGAAAAGACTAACAGTCATTTGTGCATTTATGTTATGCTTATTTCTAGAAGACAATAGGCATTCCCGAGACTGGTACACGTCATCTACAAAGACTGAATATGTACTGGTACCCAGTATGGACAACTCTCTTTTCTCAGGTAGCTTGGACAGTGGTGGGTCATTGATCCCCATGAAGCAGGCATCCCCAATGCTCCAGATGCCTTCTTTCACTTACTACTCATAAACCATGAGAAAAGTCTTATTAGACTCATTTTGTGGATGGGATGACTGAAACTCCCAGAGTTTAGGTCATCTGGCCGATGATAAAAACAGAATCGATGCTGGGACTTGGGTTTTCGAAGTCCATTGTGGCTGAGCGGATCCTGGTATCTTTCCAGACACTGTGATCTCATGTTAACACAGATCAATTCCAGTTCTCCCTTGCAGTTTCCCCACTCTCATGGTTTGGCTTAGGAAAGTAGTTTGTGTAGCACACAACACATATAGAATAGCTAGAGTTAGTCACCTGAAGGATTTTAACACCTTTACGGGCTCCAAGGAAGGATGGGCAAACCTTGGTGTGACCAGTGGTGTAAGTAGGGCAAGCTGAGAGTGGAGCTCAGAGAGCTCAGTAAGGCACCAGGTCAGTTATTAGAAATGAGTCACCTGTGGCCTGGGGCAAGCCAGTCTCAGTCCCTTACTAAGCTATCGGGAACCAGGCAGGCAACACACGCCCTTCTGGGAGAATAATCCTAATAATAAGCACTAGAATTTGCATTCCCCTCTACAGTTTGCAAAGCACTTTCAGACCTGTGCTCTTTCTTAGCAGGGTTGCTTACTGGACTAATTGTAAATAGGATCTGGATTTGTGAGTATCTCGTTTAGTGGGTTTTAAGTATCTGTAATAGTAAATCCTTTGTCAAAATGAAATTCTTCACTGTAGTGTCGTACATAAAAGAGATACGTGTGAAACTTCTGTGGTGCGGTAGGGACAGGAAGAGGGGATAGCCCACTTTCTTATGCCTCTGAACTGTGTAACCTCTATGTCTGGTTCTGAGGGCTCTCCAAGGAATTGCCCCCGACCCCCCAGGTCCAATGTCTGAGAAACATGGTTTCCCCCAGTTTACTCCCTTCTTCCAAGCAAAGAAAACCCCAATCCCTGGAGGTCACAGGAGGTGTTCTGGCCATTCCTCATCCGGGAAACCTGCCAGGACTGCTTTCTGTTATAGTTAGAGCCCGAGGCTCTACCTGGGAGCCAGTTTGCCCCTAGTCGTTTCAGGAAAAAGTCCTTTTGGTCACCAACAGCCTCAGGGACCGCTCTTCTGTGTTACTGGCAGCTTTCTCAAAGCGCTTGCTTTTCAGGCCAGAGTTCAGGGGTACCGTTTTCATTTTGGACAAGCAGTCCTTTGAATCCAAGCATATTAGCCACAGAGAGATTAGGGAGTAGGTTCAAACAGTGACTTTCAGCCCCCAAAGCCTCCACAAAATGCAAGGTACCAAGCTCCTCTGCCTGGGATTTTTACACTGGACTAACAGTGGGGCTGTAAATGTAGTAAATGCCACCCAGTCGCACACTTTAAAATGGATAAAATGGTAAAGTTTGTGTTACACTTATTTTGACACAGTAATAGTTTTAGAAATTTACATTGGTTCTTTATTTCCTACTGGATCAAGCTCAATCTCACTGGCGTGGTTAACAATCTGGCCCGTATCTCTCTTACCTCATGTCTTGCTGTCTTTCATCCAATCTCTTCATCTGATCTAATATTCAAGTCATTCTATATACTTGAAGGTTCTTCAGCTTCCTTCAAGTTCTTACTATATGCATCTATATACACCTATCCAGGGCTCTATAAATGCAGGACTTCCAAACTTTTTCATATAGTGCTTACTATATACTCCTATATACACATATCTAGTACTTAATATATGCAGGACTTTTGAGTCATTTAATCCTCATCAATTCTATGGAGCAGATACCATTATGAGGTCCATGTTATGCTTGAAGAAACCGAGGCATAGAAAGGCTCATCTTTTCAGAGTCATGCAAGACAGGATTGTAGGCAGCCAAGACAGGATTTGGACCCAGGCATTTGGTTTCTGAATCTATTCTTCACCATAGACTACTGTCTGTGGATGACTGGTCTCTACTGTTTCATCAGAAGAATTCTTTCTTACCCTCTGGAACTGGCTCATGGATCACCTCCTTTGAGAAGTCTCCCTGGTGTTCCCCAGGAAAGGTGTGACTCCTTTCTCTAAGACTACAGGACTCATAGCACCTGAACATACACTCAGTCATTCCTTCGCATCTACAATAGCCATGGAGGATGGGCCCCAGGACCTCTCCAAGGACACCAAAATCTGTAGAAGCTCAAGCCCCTTATATAAAAACAATGTAGGATTTGCATAACACCTACTTATATCCTTCCACAGACCCTAAATCACCTCTAGATGCATGCACATATTAACATAATATAAATGCTATATAAATAGTTGTTATACTGTATAATAGTTCAGGCAATAATGATTTTAAAAGTCTGTACATGTTCAGAACAGGTGCTATTTTTAAAACATTTTCTCTCAGCAGATATGTATTTTGCAGCATGTATGAAATAACAGCCTGCTTCTGAGTCTCGTCTCTCCCTGAGTTTGAGGTCCCTGAAGACAAGACCAATTCTTATACCCTGATGCTCTTGGGCACTCCTATATTTTTTATGAATGAATGGGTAGGTGCATGACTGGCTACATTTTTCTAAAATTTTTCAGGAAATAACGAAATGTTACCTTCTCTCTGAAATTTTGGCGTGGTTCCATGAAGGTCCTGCCATTGCCGCTGATAACCACTTTCGTTTTCTGTGTATTTCATCAGGCAATGAGTCCATTAAGATTTACTTTTGGTAGTTCACATTAAAAATAAATGCCCCTCTTGCTTTAATCAAAGCTTACCATAGGTAGATATGGAATGATGATCCAAAATATGGTTTTTCATGTTTTCAAAGTCAAAATACCTCTTCCAAAGAATATGACAATATCTGTCCCTCTTTGAGATTTATGGGGTAGGGCAGTTGGCGAGAATGAATGTTCTTAAAGTTCATGCAGGAAGGAGTATAAAGGAAGCAAGGAAGAATGGATGGATGTTTAGGTGGCTGAGAGGATGGGTACAATGGTGATTGGATATCTGGGTAAAATAGAGATGGGTGGATACCACCAGTATGTGAATGGAAAAATGGAGAAGATGGTATACATATGAAGATTTATGAAACGATGTGACAAGGATGCATGAAATGATGGATAAGAAGTTGTATGCGTGGATGAGTGGAAGAACTGTTGTTTGGATGGATGGATAGAAAAAGTTGGATTAGCGGATAATGGGAAAGATGGGTGGAAGTGGGTGGATAATGGAAGAATACGGCATGTGGGTGTGTGAGCCCTGGAAGAATGTAAGGAAAAGATTCGTAGATAGGTAGGTGGGTGGATGGGAGTATATTCGGGAGGGTGAATGGGTGTGCGAGTGGGTGGAAATATAAAGGCGCCTTCCTGGCAGCAGAAGATGAGCGCATAGGTTAGTAGGGCCGGCCATCCCTAGCTTTCCCTGAGCAGGAACAAAAATCCTCCTGAGCCATGTAAACTTCACTTCCCGCTGAGGGGAAGAAGAATCAGCTCTCCCTAGCTCTCCTCACTCCCCACCCTTGCCTGGAAAGCACCATTCATTATTCAGGGCAGGACTTTCCCCCTGTCCCAGCTCTTCTCCCAGGATATCCAGCTGCCTGGGAAACACAGACAACCATACCCCAGCCTACTCAGAGAAATTTAGCGGGAAAGGAGAGGCCAGAGGCTGAATCAGCTGGGCGAGGTTTCAGGACCCAGTCACCATCCTTTATGAGGCCGCCCTCCGGGAGGACGGGTGTGTAGAGGAAGCCGAGAGCCCCGGGGCGCACAGCCAGGGGGGTGCGCGGGGTGGAGGTGGTGTGCTTCGACGCAGGCGCACTCAGGAACCACCCCCCCCCCGCCCCCATCTACAAATTTACAACTTCACAACTTCTCAGGAGTGCAACAAGGACGCAGGGGCAGCGCCCGAGAGGCTGATGCGTCTTTAAACCGCTGCTGGCTGCTTAGTCACAGCCCCTCGCTTGGGTGTGTCCTCCCCTCGCTCCCTCCCTCTTAGGTCACTCTTTCAACCCTGAATAAAACCTGCTGCCAACTTCCGAGGCGGCCTCATTGCCCAGCGGCCCCCAGCCTCGGACAGGTCTGGTCCGCCTTCCTCTCCCCGTCCTCTCGTGTCCCCGCGCACCGGGACCCTCCAGCGCCACTCGCTCGCACTCTGGGTTCGCTGACACCATGGACAAGTTCTGGTGGCGCGCAGCCTGGGGACTCTGCCTCGTGCAGCTGAGCCTGGCCCAGATCGGTGAGTGCCCGCCGCAGCCCGGGGCGGCGCGAGTGGGAGTCGGGGTGCCTAGGACCCCGCAGGAGCCCACGGTCTGAGCGGCCCCGGGGGTCAGGGTGGGGGACTGCAGTCAGGTGGGGGGCGAGCAACTTGGATGACCCTGCGGAAAGCGAGGCTGGGGTTTGCGTTAAGAGGCTGGAGAGCTTGGTGGCGGTTAGCACCGCTTTGTTAAAAAGGAAAGAGAAAGGAAGAAGAAAAGTTTGCCGGACAGGCTGCCCGCGCGCACTTTTGGGTGAGGTCGCTAGAGCTGGAGCACATGGCAGAAAGTAACTGTACTGGGGCGGACCGCAGCCGCCGGTGCCTGGACCAACCGGCTCCTGTGCCCGAGGGCTGGCCGGCCAGCGGCGGCAGAGGCTGAGGCACGACAGGGCTGGGGCTGGGGCAGGGATAGGAGCTCCGGCCAGGCGGCCACAGAGTTGCAAGTGTGAGAGTCCTTGGCTTTGAGCTTTCCGGAAAGGCGTCCTGGCAAGCGGCAAGGGTGGCTCCCCAAGGAGCCTGGTTTCCAAAGCTCTTACGGTTTGCTCCAGTCGCTGACCACCTCAAGGCTTGTGGGAACTTGAACCAGCTCTGCGGAGAGGTTCTGAGTGTCTTCGTGGTTCCAGTCTGGAGCAGGGAGAATCCATAGGTGACAGGCACAGCGGCTCAATCCTTGCGACCTCCTGGTCTGCCAGTCAGTCTGGGGAAATCCAAACAATAATGTGGCTCCTATTCCCTGGGCAGCCTCAGCGGGAGGGAAGCCTGGGTACCGTGGAGGATCAGGAAGGAGGTTTCAGTGTCCCATCCAAACCACGCTGGCTGCTCTCGGTGGCTACGGAGGGGAGGGGCCCCGTGTGAGGTATTCCAGCATGGCTCAACTCCAGGCAATCCTTTTCTTTGTATACGGATAATTACATGGCCGATTTGCTTATCGCTAACAAAATTAATTTTCCTTTTAAGAAGTGCCAGCCAGGTCATTAAGACAGCTCAGCCTGTGGTTCATTCTACTCAGCAGCATTTATTAAACCCAGTTCTGGGGAGGTGGCAAAGAAAGCAAAAGACACAGTCCAGCCTGGATACTTTAGACTGAGGATAGGTACGGATCTAGAAGGTTCATTCCTAATGCAGAAGCGGTGCAAATGATAACAGCAAAGTAGTAAAAGCTACCATTGACGGCACCCTTTCACTGTTGGGAGCTCTGTGTTAAAACTTTATGTGTGTGTTCTCATTTGACAGCCACAAAGGCTGAGTGAGAAGTGTCCTGTTTAGCCTTGTTTACAGGAGATAAACTTGGGCTCAGAGAGGTTAAGTAACTTTTTGGCATTCACACAGCAGGTGTGGCGCAGGATATGAACTCAGATTCTGTGAGTTCTGAACCCTAAGGCTATGGTCAAAACACATTAGAATAAATGGGATGGGTGAAGTCAGAAAGGATTTCAGGGAAGGGGGCGCTCTGGTGGACCAGAGACCACAGTGGAAGCTGAGGGCAAGAGAGAAGAAAAAATTGAGGCCATGGAGGACCCTGCGCCTGGCCTCCTGGGAAGTCTGTTTTGTGCTCCCTACTAGTAATGTCTCTTGGCTGCTTTTCTTCTAAAGGGGCCCACCTGCAAATAAATGGTGTTGTCCTGACCCTCGGGTTATCCTAGAGACCACCAACCTCCCTGCTGCCTCAGAAAGAGTTCTGTGGTTCCTTTGGGCAGCATCCTTGGAAGGAAGTACAGGGAAATAGCAATGACTGCCTGACCTTGGCTTTCATGTGCTTGTAAATTCGTTTGGAAGGGACTGAGAGACTTGAGAAAGCGACAAGACTTAACAGAGGGCTTGGGGGTGGGTGGGCAGAGCTTGTGTGCTCTGCAAGACAAAGAGGAAACTGTGGGGAGGGGCAAATTTTGGGGTGGAGCAGGGAGAGGAAGGAAGAGTGCGGTCTTTGTATCAGAAATGAAAAGATAGAAAAATGGCCAAGGGGAGTTAAGCCGTGTTGGATCCAAATGCTCAAGAGTTGGAGAACAGGTATCTTGAATGAGCAGTTGTGTGTGGTGCGGGGAGCGAAGGGAGGGTGTCATGGGAGTGGCTGTGAGTAGAGGGTAGCAGGGAGGAGTCCTCCTTCTCTTCCGTGGTGAGAGGTCATTGCAAAAGAATTGTCTCTCTGGTGTTGAGAAAGAGGGCTGCATCTGATAGCCTGGGGTTTGGAGGTGGCTGCCACTGAGAATAGAGATGCCTCCCTTGCTGGGAGTTAGAGCTTTGGCTGTTTTCCCAGGAGAAGAAACAAGGAAGCAAAGCTCCATCCCTCTGAGGTTAACATCGATGAATTCAGTTATTCCCTTGATATGCACTGGGCATTGATTTCTTGCAAAACATAGTGACATGTACATGTGTTAGAAAGCTGGCAGCTGGTGGGGAAAAGCCTCCATTTCCTTTCAAAACACCCCATGCTGGACTGAATGAAGTTCTTAGTTTATGACGGATCCTCTACCGTTCATTCAAGGAATATTTTCTGGTTTTGTTTGTTTGTTTGTTTGTTTGTTTTTCTTCCAGTACCAGGAATCGAACTCACGACCTTGCGCTTGCCAGGCAGGCGCTGTGCCGCTGAGCTAAATCCCCAGCCCCAAGGAATATTTTCTGATTCACTGTCATAGGCTCAGAGACATTGATTCCAAGGAGCATTTCGAAAAACCCCTTGTGTCTTTCCCAAGAGGAAGAAAACCACAAAAGAGAGACTGGTGACTTCCCCTTCCGGAGACATGTGAGGGTGTTACAACAGGGCACTTTCCACACATGCTGTCTTGGAAAAACCCTTGTGGTCCCGGACTCTGGGAGCCTCACCACACTCCCTGCAAGCTCAAAGCGGCAACATTTGTTTCCTACCTTAAATCCTATCTTGTACACGCTTTACAACTCCCTGCGCGATATACCCAGACTAACATGGCAGTGATGATATCTGTGTCTTACTATAAAGCAAAGTGGGTACTTGAGAAACAGCTTGTCTTGTTCCAGGGCTCTTAGTGCCTCCTGGAATGTCACTGGCTGGTTAGAGCACCCCAGCTTTAAAAGCCAACCCCTCTGCTATTGTACCACATGGTTCCAGTGTGGAGTCTCTAGGAAATGTCACCTGCTGTGCACTGACCCTGTGCTAGGCCTTAAACTAAGGGGTTAGTGTAGAATCTCTTCCATAAGCCTCAGAATAGCCCTATATATTCAGGTTCCCTTGACTCCATTTTCTTGATACAGAAACTGAGGCTCACTCGGAGATGATATGACTTGTCCCTGGCTGCAGTGGTGGAGTTGGGATTCCCCATTGTCTGCCCCACCCCCACTTCTGCTACAGCTATTACCCCACCCCGGTGTGACTCCCATGCCTGTGCTCCTTCCATTCTTTGGAGGACTCTGGGAACTGCTGTGGTCCCCCTGCCCTCCCTGTCCCCATGGCTAGAGTAGCCTGGCATGAGGCTTCTCTCTCCACCCTCTGGCAAGCTGTGGAGTTCTGAACTTGGCTCTTCTGCCCTGCCCTGCCCTGCCTGCCCTGCCCTGCACTGACCTATCTCTTCCCAGGCTTGGCCACAGCTGTCAGAGATGCCAAGCTAGTTATTTGGTGCTAAAATAAGTCAATTCCCTTATCAGAGTCCAGCTGCCCTTCTAGACATGCTCTCATTTGCAGGTTTGGAAAAAAGGGAGAGGCTGTTCCCTGTCTAAGAGACAAGTCAGGGCAATGCTCTCTCCCTGGAAATTGAGAAAGAGGCCTGCACACCTCTCATGCTGGCCCTGCAGGCTTTGCAGATGCAGTGACCCACCCAGCCCCTTTGCCACATGCTCAGCAGCCAGTTCTTTGTGTCTCCAGTATGGAGAAGTCTTGAAGATCCTGGGCAGTGGGATGCTATGGTTCAAAAGTCATGGGACCACCTAAGTGAGATGTCAAACCAGCCCATAGTGTAAGATGCTTCCAGCCTGAGATCCTTTGATGGAGAAGAGATGGCAAGAGGTGAGCTAGGCCTCCCCAGCGGTGCATCCTGGGCCGGAGGACAAGATACTCTCCCCAGTTGTGTTTCCCCAGCACTTCTGTTTTGGCCAATTCCACCCGGGCTCAGAGGAAGCGATTCTTTGAAAGAATGCACTGAAGCAGGTGTCAGATGCTCAACATAGTTTTCACAGGGGATCTTTTCTATCTCAGAGAGAAATTCTGGGGATTTGCACAGCAAAAAGCTGATGACTCAACATCCTTCGTGCCTCTGCTTGAGTGAGAACGACACAGATGTTCTTTGGGGAAGAGCTGGTACCTTCCACCTGAAATTCAGACTTCACTTTTCACTCACTTAGCAAGGGAAATTGTTCTCGAAAAGCGTACGATCAGTCAGGTATGGGGTGCAAGCCGGCAATCCAAGAATTCAGGGAGCCCAAGGCAGGAGGATCAAAAGTTTGAGCTAAGCCTAAGCAACTTAGCAAGATCTTTGCTCATCATAAAAAAAAAAAAAATCAAAAGAGGGCTGGGGGTGTAGCTCACTGCAAAGGCTCTGGGATTAATTCCCGGTATGAAAAAAAAAGGCATGCGTTCTCGAAACTAGCCAACTGGCCAACAAATGGGCAGTAAGCTTCATTGCCAGAGGAATGGAAGGAGTATTTCTCTTCTCTGTCTTCTGCAGCCCTAGGAGATCCCCTTGATGTCAGAAACTGTGTTTGTGATCGATGCGTTGTCCTGGGCAGGGCTGAGGAGCGGGCTTGCCTGGCTAGCTGCCCGAGCTCAGCCGTCTGTTTGTGGCTTGGGTGGCTACTTGCTGTGGCTGGGGATGCCTGTCTAAGGAAAGGGTTACTAAACAGTTGGGCTGAGAAAGGAGAGGGAGCCAGGCAGGATGATGACACCAACCCTAAATTTAAGTCTCAAAATGTAACACTCCCCAGCAGTGGCCAGATTGCAAGTCTAATGATTTGGGAGCTGCTGGGAATCCTTGGGTGAGAGACCCCACCCTTCAGACCCTCACACCTGCTTCTGGAGA